TTTTTTTTTAAATTTTAATGCAAGTATGTTTCTGTATATATTAATAATGATTAAATTCATAAAATAACAAAAAAATATAACAGTAAATTAAATACTTGCCCAGTGAAAATTTCTTCATATAATTAGATTTATTTATTTATTTATTTATTTTTAACTTTATGGTCTCAAAGAAAAATGGATAAATTTTTATACACTAAATAAAACAAATTTCTTTCATGATATAATTATCATTAAATAGCCATTTTTGTGTATAAATATATGTATGTATATTTTTGTATATTAATAGAATTATTAAACTGAACAAATAATTATTTATATAATAAACTAGAGTATGCCTATTGTGGAATAATGGTTGATTATCTTCTCATTTTATTGGGAACTTCGTGAAAGAACAGATTATTCATAACAAGTGAATTATAAGTCTAAAATCAGTGCAAAACCACTTCTCTTTATTGAAATGCTTCAGTTAAAAACACAAGACAGTCAAGCTAACATTATAAAACCGATAGTAAAGACTCGAAATCCCAGTTATGGACCAATTTTTTTATCTAATTTTCAGAAAAAAGTGAATCCAGACCTTCCTGTGGAGATCAAGCCCAGTAATCGAGCACGGAAACTTCTGGAAGTCAAACTGCGAAAGCAGAAGCAGAAATCTGTGCTGAAGAGACAACAAGAGGATGAACAGCGCTGGCACATGGAAATGAGGTCCTCATCAGCTTTCACACCATTTCTGATGAAGCTTCAATTAACTTTTTTAACATTGAACACTGTGAATATTTGATATTTTCACAACTTTTAACGAATGTGCATCAAAAATGATTTAAGTCGCTTTGAATATATTCATCATTTATATAGATGTGTGTGTGTATACATATGCACATAAAATCACATTTTCTTATAATTAAAATTTAGCAATCTAATAATTTTACTGTATTTTTACAAATGTAATTATAAATGTAATTTTCACATTACAAAATATAAAGTTAACGTTTTTCATATAATTAAAATTTATCAGCATAATAATTTGCAAATAAATTTTTTGCAAATATTATATAATCATTTTAAATGTAATGTAATTGTTTTCATATAATTATAAAATATTTATAACATTTTTCATATAATGATTAAAATTCAGCACACTTAGTTTTAGTGTACTTTTTTTT